CCCCCCCCCCCCCCCCCCCCCCCCCCCGTCCCCCGCGGCGTCCTGCAGCGTTAATTAAGAAATCATCAATATGACGATAGATTTTTTTACCTTAGTTCATCGTGAATCTTGACAAAAATAACGTTCAATGGGGTAGACAAGGGACTTTGTCTTGTATGACACTGTCTTTATCGTGCATTGTAATTACGTTGTACCTCTTTAAGAGAATGTTAAATGGCTGTCATGCTGATAGTTCCTTTCTTAACAGTAGTCTACGTCATTCGATTGCAAATTGTTTGGAACCATTTGACACGGCCTTTACGCAGCTCTAGGACGGGGGAGATAGGGGTGGAGGTCAATTCAAAAATATTTCAGGCCTTTTTTCCAGTAGTGTTATGGCTGCATTCGCATCTATCATTATGTCTACATTTAATTGCTACTGTCGTACATCTATCACTACTGACCTTAGTGAACTGGCTTTGTCAGTCTCATGAGCGAACGTCATTTTACTTGGACTGACCTGGGTTCCAATATTTTCTGTAATACGACTGAATAGCGTCCACATGACGAGCCAACCAAGCTCTCGTCTTGTCGTGTTATCTTAAGATACATATAACGGCCATTTTATGGCGGATTTGGACACTGAACGATATCGCTTAGCGGTGTGAGCTGCTTGGGAAATATTCAAATTGACTTAAGAGATCTAAGCAAGTCATTACTTTCAAGATCATTACTTCAGTGCAAAAAAAAAGAAAAGATGCAATAACTAACAATAGCCTCCATGTGGCACGAAAATATGCTCGGATATTTGTTCGCGGATTTTACTTTTTTCGAGAAGCGAACGATTTTCCGAGAGCAAAGTTCGAGGAAAACTGTGAGCGTCAAGGAACAGATAATGTCCAAGAAAAACTATCCGAGCAAATTTTTAAAGTCAAATGGAGGCTATTGCGTTCATTATCCTTCAATTATTTTTCGCAACACGCGGGATTTTTTGAAAATTGGGGAATACCACTCGATATTCCCCAATCTGGGGGCACATTTAGTCACGTGACGCGTTTAGATCAATAGTGTGCGAGCGAAAATATTTGACGGGTTACAATCTCGGATACACGAGCTATATTGTGTTTCATTCCCACGCGCGTGCCATACCTTAAGATATTTTATTTTGCACTCTAAGAGATTTCACTCACTTGAGTGACGTCACTCAGACCTTACAAGCCTCAGAGTCCTACGCGAATTTTCAGTGAAGCTTTGTAAGCGAGCTGTTGTGAGCAGCTGACAAGCAAGAAAGGCGACGAAAAATCGAAAGAAACGAAGATAATCGAGGTATGCCTTTTTGGGGCACATTTTATCTGCCTTTTACTTTCAGCCTAAGAAGACATGAGTCTTACCAGTCTTATTTTTCGTTTTGAGTTAACAGTGCTTAGAGAACAGACTCTGCTCTGCTATTACTCAGTTGTAACGTCACAGTTAAACTTCACATGCAATATTTCCGTCTGTTTATGGCTGGAATATAACGTTTCGATATTAACTTTTAGACAGAAAATAGCTCATTATCACCGGGAATTTACTTAATCATAGTTTTAGATTTTTTTTCTTCTTACTTCCGTACGAGCTCATTTTGCGAAATTGGGTTGATGACAATCGCTTCCTCTGCTACTCAACAACCCGCAACCACCGCATTCGTTTGTCCCGTATGTTTTCTCCGGTTACTAAGCAACCATCGGGGGGAAAAACATCACGTGGGTGTAACGTTTCCAAGCAACACCTGAGGAGGTCACGTTCACTTGATTACTTAGTCGTGGCGCCAAAAACAAATACTGGATAAACCAGTTTGTTTTGACCTTCAATGTTGACGGCGGCAACTCTAAGAAAATGACGAATTTGTTACAGTTGCGTTTTGGTTCGGTACAATGTTAGCTGGTATGGTCTTCTCGAATTTTTTTTCTGTATTCGTCCTTGGTGTAGCGCCAACTATGAAATTTTGACGTAAACACACTTGTAACATAGGCTTGACCTAAGTCGGTTCAACAATCACTTGGTAAGGGTTGATGAACTCTTGAGAATAAAGGAGGCCCGCGCGAGTCTGGAATTTTTTCTACAGTTTCCGCCGGACTTGGCCTTCAGAACACCGATTTATGCTGACTACATCGGAACGATAAAGGACATTTTATTGTGTGAATATTGACCAAGGTTGTGCTTCGTATTGCGCGTGCTATATGTCGTTCTTTAGTTTTTAACTTATTTTGTTATTGATGAATCCCAGAAACCGCCCTTGTTGTTAAGTCTCTTGAAGATCAAGTAAACAACGATAGCAGTCAATTGATGCGTCAGCTGTTTGCGTCTGCTAACAGCAGACAGTGTGTCACATCCAAGAGTTGTTTGGTGTTTGTATTGTGTTAATAACATAAGCATCGAAAGTGTTTCACTTTTTCCAGACAGAAAAACATATGTGTTTTGTTCATCTCCTCATACCAGGGGAAGAACCGTAACCTTTTCTTGTGATTTTTGCTACTGTTTTTGCTTTTCTTCTCTCATTTGTCTAAAATCTCAACTACTTTCCTTGGCAATGGTCATGGTTGTGCTTGACTTTCAGTCTATGACGCATGAAGTGGTGATTAGTAAGCGCAAAGTAACTTAAGGTATTTTCAAACTAGCATACCACTTGATGATGTGTTACAGAAACATTTTAATTCAACTGTCTTTAAGAACACACAAGAGCTCTTCCGCCGCCCCACACTTCCAGCGCTTGACATAAGTTTCTATTAAAAAGCAACTCGAATAAGCCAAATCTCTTGCGCTAGTTTTCCTTCTGTTTTTTAGCTGACTTGGCTGGTATTCGTTTGAAGTATTTGCTTGTATTGTTAACTCGGTAAGTCGTAAGCCATCAAGGGTTTTTTGATGATCCTCTTGTAAAAATATTTAGTAGTTAAACGACGGTTATATAAGAAAAATGTGCGCCGTAGTAAAATTTGTTCGTCAAAATGGTTGTGGCACGTGTTATAAATTTCTGGCCACACCTTGGGTAACTTACTATAAAGCAACTTGGTCACTTGATCAGCGACTCTTTGTGACTGCGATAGCTTTTAGACAACTGAATTTGCAAAATTCCATTAAACAATGGATAGTCAATATTACGGAGCTAATATAGGATTGTAAAGACATCGTGTTAGTACGAAAACCGACAAATAACCTGGATCCTTCGACTGCGACTTCACACCCCTTGTGTGGTGTTAAACGTTCCTGTGTGTGTTTAATAGCACAATTAGTAGTAACCATTCCAGACGGAAGAGGTCTTTGTTTGCTTAATTAATCTTGATGAAATCAATTCTAGTTATTAAAATAACCACGACAGTGTTAAACTAGCCGAGTCTCTTATCTTTTTTTCCTTAATTAATCACTGATTCCTTGAGGCGCAAATTGCTGCGTGCAATGCAAGCGAGTACGCTCTCTAAACTGAAAAAAATTTCTAGCTCATAATCTAATTGCTAAGTAGGGTTAACAAAGAAAATCGATTTTTAACTGAAGATTTCGTGAATGAAACTGACAGCTCAGTTAAGGTGAAATTTTGAAGGATAACCTCAGAGCAGAAATATGTGGAATGTGAGAAAGACAGTGCCAGATATTTCGTGCCCGTTCACATGTTTGACAGGCCGCGAAAGTTGAGACTCTTCGCTTGATAATTTGTTGTCGCAATAAAGGAAAGGTCGATCTCTCATAAAGGTTGCATTATATGGTGGTCAACTTTGCGGGTAAAGCCTAACTGGTGCTTGTGAAAGTTTTTTCGGGAATCAAATTAGTTAGTAACAAGTTGCAGTGTTAAGTCGCGGAAATGACTCACATCCGTATTGAAGGAAATAGTAACATAATATAGCAATGAAAGGACTATTAGAAGTTCTTAAACTCAGAAGCGTGCGCAATTCATTGAAGTATTGACATGTCGCGCGCAATTTGGACAATGTCAACAATGAATTAAATTTTAACTGTTGCATCGAATTGGCAAAAAAATAGCTTGCCTGTAAGCCCATATTGAATCGGGTTGTCGTTACTATGCTAGATATTGCCACAAATTAAGTGGCATTGTGTGAATGGCACCTCCCAGATGGTTCTAATTGTGTGAGCCCTTACGGATATGGCAAGAAAATCTCGGCCACTTAGATTCGATCAGTATTTTGGATTTAGTTTGGGTCAAGTCAGTAATCGGCGCAGCGGGTCGAAGTACACAACAAGAACCGTTCAAGGAGGCGAGCCTCTCTTCTTACAATAGCACTTACTACAAAGGGTTTTGAGGTAAGCAAACAAGATACACAGTAGTTTATTTACGTTAAAATGCTCTTTTATACGAAAAAGGGTTATTGTCCAGTGATGAAAAGTTTATTTATTTAGACCGGTGAAATTTCCCGCTAGTCCTGCCGGTCGGTAGCTCGTCTACGTTCGCAACATTATGGAGTCACGGATTATCTTCAGGACTTCATCTGAAAATTAGCCTGGCATTAAACAAACTACTTTGAGATACCTCATGCGGATTTGTGCAGTGAAAGAGCAAAGTCAGTCACGGGTTTCGACGCATTCGATAACAACCTGTCTTGTCTGAACTCTGGGCGGAGAATTGTCGGCTATTTAATTTTTTTGGAATCAGTGTCCGTTTAAGGAAAAATTTTGGACATTTGGTTTGCTCTTGCAGTGAATGTAATAACTCTGTTGTGGTTTCCTATTTTGTAACTCGGCACGTATAACTATTTTAGCCGTAAATTATAGCGACTAAATGTTTCCGGGGTAGCCAGTGGAGGTCGTTGTTACGAGCAAACGTGACCTGAAATTCTAAGGAATCACTAGATGTTCACTATCCGTGCTAAGCTATTGTAAATCAATAAAAACTTAATTGACGTCTCCGTAAAGAGATGTAGAGTTTATTATTATTATAATTATAGTTATAATAATAATTGCTGTTATTAAGTCTTTCGTGTCAGAAAGTTCAGTTTGACCCAGGCAAATCCTTGAACTGAAGTTGTACTGTTCGAGAGCCCCTTGACGAGTATCGTGTGCGACTGTTGATCGTTCAAGGATTTTTCTAGGCCATGGCGCGTACAAACTAATATATCCTCTTTGCGTGAGCTTTACTTAACTATGTTAATGCGTGATGTCGGATTATATTAGCAGAGGCAATTTCCGATATCACAATGAACTAAATTCTGGCGTGTTCATTTACGCCCTGGAGTAAAAAAAGTCACGACACCACGGTTCTTTCTTTCGATTCTTATCAAGAATTAAAGACCCAAAACACGCTACCAATCTCAAGGTCAGCTTTTTTTTATTTTTCTCTTGTCAAGTCGAGACAATCGAGATTGCCGAAAGACGGGCCATTCCGGTATCGATCTTGAGAGGGGATTCAATATAAGCTGAAAGGATTTCAATAGAAAATCAATTACTGTTGTTAATCCACTATACACCTCTTAGTTTCGTGGTTTTTTATTTTCACCGTTTGTGGGCAGCTAGGACTGTCTGAAGGAATTTTACGAACGCTTCAACTCCTAGTTATCACTGAAGCCGCCTCTCTTATAAGCCCAACCGTATCTACGTCTATCCGTCGAAGAAACTCCTATCCGGCTGTATTCCTCAGTCATCGGTGTTAAAAACTCTCCTTGTGATACTTTTACTGTTGTTTACGCCTCACAATTATATCATTTGTCATACTGAATACATTTTAACCACATGTCTCGACAAATGAATTACTCGACTGGTACATAAAGCAACAGAGAGGGATTCATAAAGCAGTGCATCACTGAATGAAAGTTGTGTGACATTTAAAAGAAGATAAACAATAAAAATTTTAGCCAAGGTGTTATGAAAACAAATGTGACGTTTTGGCGTATATTACTTGCTAGTTACCATTGGCCATCTTCAGAATAAAACTCTTTTGTAGTGTTGTTGGGCCCAAGTCAGGCATCCAGCAGCTAATAATTTGGCCTCATTGTTACCACTCCAAGTTGAAATTGCGTGTCTTTGATAAACCGGCACCCGTGTTATAAAAAAACATCATTTGAAACAAACCCAGAATGACCTCAAGTACAGACTCCACTGTTATACGCCCCTCAATTTTCAATCCCCGCTCAAGTTTCGTCAGGGGCACGATTTTGTCTCAATTACTTTAAGGTTATCTATAGTGCCTTTTAAAGCTCTGCAGCTGAGGTTAATTTTAGGCTTCGCTATAACATTTGTATCAGTTCGGTTATTCTTAGGGAGCTTGAGTCTTCCCGAATTCATTACAGCTTTTTTGTCCATTTCCCAAAACCCTTAGCAGAGGTTGTCATTAAGTCCGAAAAACATAGCTGGCCTTTTATTCGGTACCCAAAACGACAGTTTTTATCAATTCGAAAACAACAGGCATTGTATTTCTCATACCAAAAAAGTTCGAGGTAAAAAAATCGGAGAGGATAAAAGACCTTCCGAACAGATAATTTACCGAAACGTGCCATTGGGTGTCTCCAGTTCGTAACTCAAATGTTTGTAAGATAGGGAGAATTTGCTGATTAGGTTAATATACATTATCAGATACGCCGTTAATAACATCTTCACCTATATACGATTTAATTTTTAAATGCTTTCCCATCAACAGCAGAGCTGAAGGTAGTTGAAGAGACCTGTTTAGAACGAAGGCCCTCACATGTGCCCTCGGCTATTTATTTAAAGCGTTAATTAACGTTTGTCTTCTTCTCAGATAAGAACTGAGAATCCGGCTAGGGGAAGTGAAAGGATAGAATTGCCTCTCTCTGCCCTCTCTCTCCCCTCCCTAGGGCTACCGACGGCGAAGTCCTGCCAAATCATAACTAGCTAAGGTTAACTACAGAGGGTAGTACCTAGTTAGTTGTGAACTGTGCGTCTCTTTAATTTTTGTCTTATTATCTCGCTACGTTCTCCAAGTTTAGCTCTCCTTTCAGTAAGGTGATATAGCAAGAGAGTTTTCTTTGTGAATCACGAGTGAGAAACGACCATTTTCTATCAATATTTTGAACTATCTAGAGTGTCTCTTTGGTGCGTTAGTGCTTGATGCAGCCAGTTCATTGGCTAGCCTGACGTTTAATGACGTACCACTTTCTGTATTGACTTGGTGATATGGGAGGTTGCCAGGAACTCAATTATTTAACTTAATTGCGCAAGTGAGTGCAGTTAAGGTGGTATTTGAGCTCCGTTCGGTTATAATTTCTGCCGTTTGGAGACAGTGGCAACGAAATGTTGAGGTAGCTCCATCTCAAGTCAAATCTAAGGCACGGTATGTACATTTTAAACATTGCTAACGGTAGAATGTTTCGCCGAGTGAACGAGTTTCGACTTGCACTTAAGGTTTGCATTTTGACGATAATGGCGTTTATGGTAAGATTCTTTCCCTTTGTCAATTTTATCTTTGCCCGCACAGGGAGTGCAGACAGACTGAATGGAATCAAACAAGTTCTAATTGTATTCAGCTCTTTCAAAAATCTAATTCCAGTATAAACGGGCTTAGAGCTGTCTTTCTGTGGGCCGAAAGTCGTCAAATGACAAGCTGCAGTTTTAGGGGGTTCCCTGTGAAGAGCTTAGGCTCGATTTCGTTTTTAGCCGGAATAGTGGCACATTTCGTTGAGTTAATACGTATGCACTAATTTTAATTTGCAAGCAAAGCTCTGGTTGTTAGACACTTCACAAAAGCTGACGCAAGCACAACCGCTCATTTTGCCTGGTAAATTTTCATAATTTGTAGTTTTCATCGTTAAACTTGCTTTTGGCGCACACCCAGTAGCTTGTAAATAGTGGATTTAGTATGAAATTTGGACACGTGGGTTTGACAGTGTTGGCCCGGAAACTTTAGTTTTGTACCATTCCGTTACTCAACCGTTAAGTTGATATTTGTGAAAAGGAAAGCATTGTGTTAACCACAAGAATCAACTGTAAACGTATACAACATTCCAACTAAGACAACTACCGTCTTAATTAAATTCGTCTGGCTAAATAAAATAAAACAAAACGAAAGAAACCTGGGAAAATACTTAACCTTCGTCTCACTAATTTTGGAACAGCTTTGTTGCTTTGCATGTGTTGTGAGGTCAACGTTGACCATAATTATGTTTTGCTGTTTAGTTTAAATGTGCAGAGAACAAACGAACGGAGAAAAAGGCAACCTCCATAAAACAATTATTACACATTGGGTGTTTACCTAGTAATGGTAGGTGAGATTGAAAATAGAATGGCCCAGTGACAGGTAGCAATGTCAGAAGTGCAAAATTCAAATTGTTTTCCAACCATTGAACCCTTTTTTGTAATTACGGCGTGAGAAGCAGGACCTGACAAGCCGTACATTAGATATTTATGATTAGAATAGCTTGGCTTTCTTTGAAGTAAGATGCGGCCGTCTACACATAAAGCTTGGATCTAAACCCAACCAGCTGAAAGTTGAAACATGTAACGGGTGTCGGTAAAGACGGCGACGCCAAAACAGTGTTCTAGTCTTTACTATCCGCTGGTAGCCCTGGAGCTGTGTGTGATTCTTTTGTGCAAACGCCAGCTAAGTACTGAGGAAATAGAGAGCAATGGTTTGCCTGTCAGAAATTGTAGGTTATTTCAGCATTGCAGCAAGCCATTCAGTGTTTTAGACGTACATGTGCAATTGTACTTATACAGAGCCAGATGGGTAGCTACTTAGGCCAAGGTTATTCGTCTGGTAAAAATGGTAGAATTCATAAATGACCTGCTATATAGTAGCAATGGGAAATGAAATATCGCCGATTGAACTCCATGCAAATGTCCAATTCGTGTTCATAGCCAGGCGCAGCGTTTCAGTTGTTCGTATCGAGTCAGATTGATGAGAAAAGAGAGGTCATGCAGCTGAAGTTACTGAGTGGTCGTAGAGGTACGGCAAATACCTCAAGATGAAAACTGAAACAATCTGTTGTTGTTTGGAGTTTCCAACATGGAAAGCCAGGTGGTTAGCAACTTAAAAAAGAGTCCCGGATATTGGGCTAAAGTCATGCTCGTTGGCTTGAATGTTCTTAAAATTGAACTCCCGCTGTTAAATCTGTGCCGGCTACAAAGCGAAGAAACTCGCTTTGTTTTAAGACATGCGTTTTTTTTGTTTCATTATGTTTTCTGGCTGATAAATGACCAGTGATGGCCTTGTCTCGCGGACGGGCTTCATGAAACATTTGTTCAACACATTTGGGCGTGTTAAAACCACTGTCAAAACAGCGCGATTTTAATTATGCCGATTTATTGGATGAACACAAAACTGTAAATGCCGCCTCGTGCTTTAGATTACTGTTAACCGCTGTGGTACACCTTGCAAATTAGTTTCACATAACTGATTATGGCTGATTCCTCATTGTTAAATGTTAACTTCGACATGCAATTAGTATTAAGTGATTGGATTCTCGGAGGTGCAAACCTCATTTGGAGTCTACAGATGAGTTTAGTCTGGTTGTTACACGCATAAAACGGGAAAACCCCGCTAAAAAATTATCCGGAAAAAGTACTTCAGCTGATAATTACTACCTTAAAGATGCACGAATTATGCGCCTTCTGTCTATTTTTACGACAATTATGATGATTATGTACGCTAAACCGTCAGCATGACTGCAGCACCGTCCACACCGTAGGAGGGCGCAGCATATAAACTTAAGGGAGCAGTCAATGTCTTACTTTTCCTTGCATGTTTTAAAATTTATTGCCAAGCACCTAAACGACAAGTAAAAAGTTATCAACTTGTTTTCAAGTTATTTATTGTCTGCATGGTCTATCATCATATTCTCTCAACTAATCTTCAAATAAATAGCTGAAAATGAATAAGGAGAAATCAGAGTTTTTAGAGAAGTAGTTATCGCCGTGATTGAGATCATTTTACAGCAGAAAAATAGTTATTACATCACCTATGATAATCAAACCAAGCTTTATATAGTAATCTAACATACAAAACCGCACGACTAGCATGAACTTGGTCAAGAAGTTTCTAATGCTTTTTGTCTCTGTAGATTAAACTAATTTAGGCGCTTAAATTTCCCCCCAAAATGCGATAGAGTTATTATTTTTTTTCAAGATAAAGTTATCATTGCACAAAAGGGGCTGGGTTTCTAACTAAAATTCAGCAGTTTCTCACTGCGACACTTGTTCGCTACATCTCGTGCCACCCGCTCGATTTCACCACCAAACAGACATAATGCAAACCGCCAAGCCATGAATAACGTGGACTTTCACTGATTGTCTAAACTTGGCGCCTTATTTTGTTTATCCAGAGATGTAAACTTCGTGAGCCCACGATCCATCCGGTCAGGGTGTCCTTTCTCTCGCCGGACTGGCCCGAAATGTATGCCATTATTAAGTCGTGAAGAATTGTCGTGAACACTTGTTCCCCGGGCTACATAGGGTGTTTTCATATAAATTACAATTCCATGATGGCGTAGTTAAACGACAGAGATACGCTCGTCGCACATTTGCGCACGTCTTAGAGCATCATGTGGACTTCGTATTTCAAGTAAGTGCAGGTTGCGTCTCTCACCGATGGAAGTTGCTTGCATTTTCGCGATCCTCTTACCCGAGATAGCTGCATGCGCTTATTGGAGCAGCTAAGCAAATTTTGCAAGATGTTTGCAAGGTGCTCAGTGCGTTTGTGTAAAGCCGCAGAGCAGCGATAACGAGAATGCAAGCAATTTTAATTTCGATTTATCACTATCCTCACACGTGTAGTACACCCAAAACAACCGGGTTTTAATCCTTGTTGTTTTTCGCCTTTTTCGCTTTAATATTCTAGAATATATTGGAAATGAGTAAAAATTCTAATCACGTACAGTTTCATCAGCCGAATGTAAATTTTTATATTTATTCATCGTCGACAGATATCTTAAATTTGTCGAGGTGAATTTCTTCCCTCGCGACGATAATTTCTTCGCTCGAATTGATACACGTGTAGAACTCGCCAGTTGCGAAAACGCAATATCCATGACTTTTTTTTCGTGATTATTATTTTTCTTTTTGCAGTATTCATCTGCTGAATGAAAGCAAACTTGGTTTCATCAATCTCTGCCGTATTCCGTTTTTTAAACAGAAGATTCCCAGTCGGTGTCGTAATTTACGTATTCCACCAACAAATATTGAACCGGTTGTCGAGGAAGAACAGAAAAGTTAGTCTGTAGTGATTTGCCTCGAAACAAGATAAAGTCTTAGCTAGAGGACGAATCCTCGGCGAACCGTCATCGTACAATGTCGTACAGCACTTGACAAACGTTAGGTAATTCCTGTTTCGAAGAAAAAGCGCAGAGTTACAATCTGACATAATGTTCGACTCGAGAACATATGCAAATGAAACCGCTTTGTGTTGGGAGAACATTTCCTTGTTCAGAACATTCAACGCTGAAGTCCTGCTCTCGACAAATTTATTTACTCTCAAAAGTTATGCTTGGAAGAGAGCTATTTTTGAAACAGAGGGTGATTGAATTTCATTACACACACATTTCACTCAAATTGAATGTATTTGCTCTAAATTTGTAATACGTATTTTACATGACAGTACTCGTTGATAGAGGTATAGCCAAAAAAACTTCCGTCGGCTCAAAAATTTGCATACCAGCTGGCCCTTAAGAAAAATAAGAACAACAACGTGGGAATTGTGTAGAATGCCATTATTAGTATGCTTATTTCTTGGCACGTGTTAACGAAATCGTCTCAGAGAGATTTACGGCGTGAAATGTTCAAGAAATTTCAACGCTTGCTTCGTAGACAAAAGAAAGGAAACTCGATCGCCCTTATGATCTCAAATCTGCGCGAAGACAAAGATGTAATATATTCTGCAATATTTATAGCGTTCGTAGCACCTAGTAAAGTTTAGGAATTATTTATTCGAGCGGATTTAAGGACTGTTAGAGAGAGTCTTCCTCCAAGCCATTTAAGCCGAGCTTTTTTTGTTTTTCGTTTATTAAATGTACTGAGCTGTTCTTTGATGGTGGTTCGCAATTTTCCCCGCTAAGTGCGTTTGTTATTAACAATAAAGATTGTAAGTTCTGCTAGATCCATGATGTAATGTGTCCACCCACTTTTGCCTGACGAAACCTAATGTCTAGGATGTGCGGGAAGGTTTTGTGTTGAAAATGTATCAATGGCCTCGAAGACGCAAATACGACCTGCTAGGTTTATAATAGCAACCACGAGGGGAGCGCGCGCTCACGATTAGGATCGAGCTCTCGCCAAGCAGGTGCCACGAACAACTTGGAATAAGTCAAGCGGAGACCTCCCACCCTTGAAGCTGAATTAAAAAAAACACCTCAAGTTCAGCCAGAAAACGTTTACAAAAACCGTTTGTGGAAACAAATTAGATTTTGCTGTGGCAACCATGATTTAGTGGGAAAAAAAGCAAACGGGGCAAACAATGATAACTACTGAAGCGATGGAAAAACACTGGACGTGAGCTTTGCATTTACCGTTTCATTTGCAATGAATAGGCCCCGCGCTCGTGGAGTTTCTAATTGAAATCGAGAGCTAGAAATGTATCGTTTGAATTTCAAGTATTTTTATCACTGATGTATTTCATAAACTATGAGATTGTTTGTGAATGTAAGGTTTTTGAGGCACTCTGCATGGGACCCCTACCGTTCTCAATTTTGTCTCGACACGAAATTAGCTTTTCTTTGCGTAAACACACTGGCTATGGGACTTAAGTCGAATTTGTGCTTACTGTTTGCCATTACTCAATATTACAAGTGTACACCTAAGAGGAATATTAGATGGCTAATAGCAAGCAGGCTCCTAGGTAATGGAGAGCGGAACCGCTGAAAACGCATACCTGAGAATATGTCGCCACCATTTAAATTAACCGTATAATTTCGCAGCGATTTTGTAAATTAATAATAGTGGACGTCGAAGAATTGTCTCACTAGGCGAAGACGCTTGTCCCGGTCGAAATATCACTGGAAATGAGGTAAAGAATTAGTTGCTTTTAAGTGATTGAAGACGTTAGAAAAGAATATAAGATTCAATTATGTTTTAAAACTGGAATGAAGACATGGAGCTTTAATTACTCTTGCGAAATAGCCAAAAAAACTTTTCGTGTAAAAGTTCGTGATTTGAGTCTTGAGTGCTCGATTCATTTTGGTAATAAAATAGTCTCGTTATGGCTTACACCGAATTGTCATTATTCCAGGTTTATTGCTCTGATAAAACTATTACGCTAAATATAATATCCTATATTGATGAAAATTGATTGCGTCCAATAGTCAGAAATAAAAGGTATGTCGTTGCTCTTCAGAGCTAAATTCGTCTCGACTCTGAATATTTACGTTAATTTCATGCTTAGTATAGTGGTTATTTTAACACACTGCTGTTAAACATGGCATTAAAAATAGCCTCGGCCTCGGTACTATTATTACTGAGAAAACGCCATTGATTTTAATTCGATGACACACTTCGATTCATCAAACACCTTTAAAACGTTTTAGATGAGCGCAAAAAAAAATAAAAAAACGTTTTGATATTTCTTTGCGGATGAAAATTATCTTAATATTTCGCAAGCAGATAGACTGACGGATGATTCTGGTCACGGTTATTTTTTGGGGAAGCTAAAAAAATCCCCTGTGCTTGAATGATTAGACAACAGACGTCGGTTAAACTGGATCTTAAGTTACTATTTGTTTTTCCTTTCTTTCTTTTCTCCACTTTTTCTGGTGAGTTACAAATCGATGAACATGATGTGAAACAGTAGTACTTCGTTTTGAGTGTTTTATTCCTGTTTTAATTCCTTTATCGGACCATTCAACAGCATTCAACCCACACAGATGCTAGATAGATACTTCAGTAAAGACACAACAAGAGAATTGTGATCAGTTCTTTTTGAGCTTCCCCTCATTTATTATCAACGCGAACTTGCAACTGTTTGATCCTTTTGTCGTGAAAAACACTTTCCAATGTGTTTATTTACTTAAGAGAAATGTCTTTGTAAATAAGGAGCGAATCTGGTTGGCAAGCAGCATTTAGGAAAATTTGCATGAATTAACACTGAAGGGGAGGCTTCCAAAAATAACCCATAAAATGACAAACTGAATTCCAAGCTCTAATATACGACTTTTCCTCCTACAATCATTGCTTTAATACTGAAACGACAAAAATGTCACGATTACTATACTAAATACTGTATTTCCTAGTGATCTCTGCGAGTGAGAAAATACCCACCAAGATAGGTGGAACAGTGACTAACCCTCATTGTACCCTAGCCCCGCCTAAGTACCATGACTTCATGTGCGCAAAATTTACTTTACATTTAGAGTAAGTTTTTAGTTTGTTGCCGTTGTTCGCATTTTTCTTTCCTTCGTCTAGCTTTCTTTCCTAGCAATGGCTTTTGTGACTCTCGGCTTCTGGTTACGTTTATACTCTCCGTGCAAACGTTACCATTCAGGTGCATTCAAGTTTTTCTGTCAAACATGAGCAAACCAACACGAGTGAGTTGGCTCCGTACCTCTCTTTTATACCGTGGCAGTAATGGGCTCCCGACCGTGGTCGATTCATTTGCTGTCAGCTTATACTGAGTAGACCCAGCCGGGAAACGTGGCCGGTAAATTTTACAGCCTGTTGAACAAAAAACTGTTTGTGAGAAAGACGTTGATTTCGTTTTCACGAGCTTCAGACAAGGAAAAAAAATTATGTGTCCCCGACGAGGGTCAAACCCCGTGACATACGTCAGTGAAATACACCGGTCGGCGGTCTGATTCTCAGGCCACTAAGCTACAATGGGGCACGCTCATTTACTTGCTGGTTTCTTTAAAGTATGTGACACGCATTTTGCATACTGTCGGGCTACGAGCACTGTAGGAAGGGCCTTGTGTTTATGTTTTGTTTTTGGACATGTTTTTGACACTCAGATTTTCAAGCTTCGCTATAAACCTGACGGAATCAAAGCGTTCTGCCTAAAAACGTACGGCAACGCTAGCAAGGAGAATGTTGCATTGCCTGTTGTCTTTCTGTACTGACTTCTCGGTGGCTTCTGTCCACCTTCATATGTAAGCACGAGGGAGAGGTTTCCTCTCTTTGATGGCGGCGCTGTTCAAAGTTGAGTGTCGCGACTCCAAGAAAAGCCTCTTGTTATAGTTTGTAACACCGCGTTATAAATGGGTTATAAATCTTGAGACATTTCGTAGCGTCCTTAGCCGTGCTCTTCAAAACAACCATGCAAAAAGACTGTACAAAGGTACAAGGTTCAATCTAAAATGAATATCTAACGAAGGAAATGACATAAGGGCAGATCAAGCAGAATTCGAAAAGTACAAAGTACGATTTGAATACAATCTGAGTGAGAGCAAGAAACTGTGACTACATCGTAAGGTAAATTACTACTCTTGGCTTTTAGGAAAGGTTTCAAAATCGTAAAATATAGCTTAGCGTAGCATGACTGGCGAACAGTAAATCCTCTCGTAACAAGGACGTAAACCACGATGGCTGGTTTTTTCGTATTTCTCGTGTCGACTTGCCTGAATGCTTTCCTTTCCTGTTCAACTAAGCCACATGTAGTCCATGAACCAAATGACACACGAGGAAGGACCGGTTGTAAGGCAAAAATTTTACTCTAGCGGTGTTCTTCAATAGAGTATGAATTCATTCTATACAAGGCGTTGTCCTTGGCGTTGCCGTCGTTATTGCTTAAGCTCCTTATGTACTAAAGAGGGAGTTTTAGGATTCATGACCCTGATGACCTGGATTTCATGACTGCTGTTTACAACTAGTGTTTTTTTTTTCTCGGTAACTGTGAACTAGTCACTAACGGCTAGATAGTGGTGTTTGTTTTTTTGTTCACAATACTTCGTTCATTAGTCTACTATGCTTTGTAGCGATATAGAGAACTGACTGAGCTAAAAGTTTGTAAGATAGTCAAGGTCTTACATAATTCTCAATGGCTTGTTGTTATAATTACTTTGTTTTTATACTCGAGAATTTTGTGGTTAAAAATTCGTCTGATTTATGCTCTCGTGCAGAGAAATGTTTATACGATGTATATCTTAGAGAATGTAGTCAATGGTACACGTCACTAACAAAGGAAGGAAGGAAGTTTATGAAACATTTCTAAGGTAATTTACAACTATTTAGTTTCCGGAGAAAACGATAAAAAATTAATGTAATTACCAGCAATAAGTGTCCACAGTGTATCCACACTCAAAAACAGACCAACAAGATCATTCATCTTGTAGTAATTACAGGTATCTGCAAAAGCTATATTCACTGAACAGGGTATGAACTGCTCGAGAGAAAAAAATACGTCGCTAAGAAATTTGTATCGTGACGATTATATATGAGGATGTGCACTACACAACTGTGTAGCCGCGTCGGGTTTATGGCGGGAAAACACCCGGCTGCACAGTGTGTGGTGGGAGTTTGTACGAAGCTGAGCGCAGCAGACAGTCCTCGAGTCAGCGGACGACAAACAAGAATTACGAGTAGGTTTCAATTTCAAACTTCATGTTGTTATTGTTCTGCTTTGACAAAGTCTTGAGGGAATGTTAGAGTTGGAAATAGCAGAGAAGGTAATCACTAAGTTAGTAGCCTCATTGTGTAACTTCGTTCCTTAATTAGGCTCCTAATCTCAGCGATCCTTGTGTTGTGAGTTTCAATGTATGCTAAATCTGTTATCAGACGTAGGTCGTAGCAGATTTTAGACATCTTTGAATACAAAGACGTACATCATTGTACTTTTGTAGCCCGTCGGCAGTAAAGACGGAAGTTTTATTGAGATTCATTCATGGAAAAAAAAATCGTTTAGGAAAGATTTTCACCTCAAACGTTTTCGAGAACAACCGCTCGCTATTCGCAAACGTAAATATTATGGTTCTACATTTTCCCTAAGACAAGAATACCGCTGTGCAATTCGAGGCTTCAAAATTATTCTAGTTCATAGTTCAATTCAGTTCATAGTTCAGAATGAATGTTTCTCTTGAAAAACTAATTTTCGCCAACTGGGGCAGCTCTGGGCAGCGACGCAAGTTTTCTAATTATGGCGGATGTTGTTGTATTTCGGAGCGTGTGGTCTTCATAAACAATATCTATTTCTACAAAGATTATTAGATACATTACAGCTCAAAGAGTTTGTTTAAAAATTAATGCAAGCTTATTTGACGAGAGCGCTAACACGGGAAGTCTTGCCGCACTAGCCAATATTTGTTCAAGAAAACATCTCGACCATTTGTCGTGTCAAACTGAATTTCATATCTGCAAATTAAAACATGAGGCCATCGTCAAATAACGACCTGGCAATTTATTACTAACTTCCTCATTAGCATTATCAACTTGACAAGAAGCAGAGCTTTTGAAATAGAAAACATCTGCTGTATACCCGAATTCCCGGCTCAGCTGCAGTGTGATCTCAAAATTTCTCCACATGGTCTCCAAACGTTAGTCGATTTTTGGTTGAAACAGTTTCTGGTTAGACTCAAGGTGTTCAGTTTTCCAGGCCAGTATGATCATGCTGTTCTTTATTCTAGCCGTTAAATGGCTGAGAAAATCCAGAAGAAAAAAATATCTAACACGCTAGTGGTCAGGTACAAAAAACCGCAGCGCTAGGCTGGACCCCCGTGGATGGAGTGATGTTTCCGCGAAAGGGGTAGCGCGCCATCGCTAACTGGAAATTCTTTCGTAAAGATTTGTTTCCTGAATTACCAATTTGAAAACATTACATGAAACTTGAAGTATCATTTAACTAACTGATAGCTAATCGAGGTCACTTGGTCAGCTTGTGAACTGATGCAACTGACATCACAATGTTGGGGTGTGACACGATCACGTGAGACTACAATAGACTAGAAATAAACTCGGCACCTTTTTGATCAAAAAACATCTTGCGCGCATCATTGTCGAATCTGATCGAATTTCTGTAGTAATGGTCTAGCCCCGCCAAACGAAGTAGCTAATTGATCAGATAACAAGTGTTTAGAGTTAAGCTCCCCATCTCTGAACTTTTCCGTAACAGGCGGACCACCATGTTAGCCCCGTTTAATGTGGAAAGTTTTTCTGGAATGGGTTCGTGGGCGCTTAGCGAGACCGGAAAGTCTGTCTTTTGTCAAAATTAATGGTCATTAATTCCAGCCCAGCATTTCTTGGGCTGATATCTGTCGAGATAACGATAAAAAACTCGAGTAATCTTCGTATAGTGCACCATAATTGGATGCGAAAGAAAGCCAAATTGAGTTCGGTGTTACATAAGTTGTGTGCGGTCTGGGACGATCCATTGATATTTTTATAAGCCGAAACAGTCTTGTCTGAAGTAGAAGGTCCGTTCTTGAATACCACAAGGTGCCGATTCAAGACAAGCAGTTTGGTGGTCAAATTTCTGTTTAGGATTCTAATACCTCACTGTTTTTTAGTTTTTTCCGGTTTAAATGAGTTGAAAACGAGCGAAAGCGATGTCGGCTGCTAATTGTGTTATTTTTGAAAACACGCATGAATTCTTACACGCGACTAACATTGTACAACAGCTAAATTGCAAAGGAAGATTTGAGGTATGTAATGTATCATTTCTTAAATGATTTTCGGCTCTCTAACAAGCATCGAAACTTGGAAACGTTCATTAAAGACCTACAGCGAAGGCCTCGCTAAAATTCAACTCGATTACTCACGAAAGATAGGGGGTTAACCGTTTCTTTTGCAACCACGGCAGTTTTATGAAGAATTTAGGGGGCGTAGGCCAGATTCCATTCGGAGCTATCAAAATACATTGCAATCGTTTATAAATACGCTTTCCTATCGGAAAACGTGCGTCAATCCTAAGTGCCATAGTTTAAGTAAAATTCTGAGTATACTTAAGATTATTGCATCGATAGGTGTTTCATTAGAAATCTCGGTCAACTGTTTACAAACACTTGTATCTATTTCTGTCTCGTTGTTCCGTGGGGGTTGGTACGTGTTGATTTAGGGGGCTGGAGCGGGGTGGAGCTGTTCAGTTTCCTCTCGATACTGTTTTCCTGAAGGAAATATTGCGCTGTTAAATTCGAACATAAGACTAACTTCTTTTGTCACACTCTTTTGTATTCTGTATACCTTAGTCAGTATTTCGCGTGTAGACCTGACAGTATTCCTTTCTGTGGGATTTTAGCCGAGGGTTTACGAAACTGGAAACATCTCTGTCAAAACTGGCAGAAGTTCAAGTATTTTCTTTGTTATGAAAACAAAGCAAAAGAAGTGAATTGAATAATTGCTACTCGTGGCTTATTAAACCATAGCCGCCGGGTAATAGGACTACTTAGTTTTGCACACGTGTGTTTTAATTACTCATTTTTCCCTAGAGAAATTGTTTATTTATTCATACACAGGAAAAAATAGTAAGAGTAAATCCACTTTTATTTACGGCAACGCGACATGATCTTATAAACAAAACAAACGAACAAACATATCACCGATAAACAAACTTCCTCCAAGCTCAACCGTGTAATCCCGGTCACAAAGCGAATTTACAGGTTTACATTTGCAACTTTACACTCTCTTTTCTTGAGAAGAGTGGTGCATTGCTAGAGCTTCTACATAGCTAGTTCAAAAATGCCAGTGTTCTTTACAGGCGTTCTCAAGACGCGAAACGAACGGAGCTCGAAAGAATTAAGAACGAAAGCCGCCATCTTGAAAATTCCGCAACAGCAATGCATAGCGATCGTAATACGTATCACTTCCCCTCCGGAGCTGTGCATATCTCTTAACACCCCGGGCTTGTCAAGAATGGTCAATTTATTGGCGCGTGCACCCTCCAGGGTGGTCTTAGAACGTCACGGCCTGTTTTTAAAATCTTAACACTGCTGACGCGCTGTTGACCAATTAGAAGCCGATAGCGACCGGATTCAGGCTGTAGACGTTGGCGTTATGTTTGTTTTAATTACCTTCGATTCCTAATTGCTCGCTTACGCTAGATTATTTGAATTGCAAAAATATTTGCTTTGGAAGCATATCTGACGATTTAGAGGCTCGTTGTTGCGGATTCTGTTCCAAACTACAGGAAACAAGGATCAGACTGGGAAAACCCAAGTCGAAAGGTCACGGATGTTGGTATTGTTCTAAGAACAGAACAACCAATCGATTGCAGCTGCTTATCTTGGTTTGTCAGAGATTTTTTTTAATCCACTTCTGTGCAGGCCACGGTTTTGTTCGGTCGATTTTGTAATGCGTGTGCTTGACTGTCCACGTAAAAGCACCGCTGTTTGGTCCGAAATTTGCCCACAGTTCGCGGGTGGTCTCTATCAGTAGGAAAACCTCAAGACACTGATCAAAGTCCTCGCGCGGTCGCTCAACTCTTACGAGACAGAAAGCACATGACGGTGACCCGCTTGAGCGAGTGCATGGGAGAAAGAATTAACATGGAATCCCACGCAGTCACTTAGGTAATGATCCCAGAATAGACTGGCGGGTAACGCGAAAACTATTCGCTGACCTGTACATAGATATCTGCTTGACTCCATTCTGCCTCGTCTGCTAATTCGTGCTTTTATTTATTGTGCAACTACAAGACGATTGTGCGTACGGAATGTAAAACGCCGTTGTAAGGCGAGCTGTGTGTTATTGACGCCGTTCGGCCGTGCTAAGTATCCATTTGTGGCTGCAGATTTAACTCACTCATCGATTTATCACCCGTGACAATCAAAAGATTAGCAAGGCAACTCACTCACTCGGCCCTCGGGTCGGCTGCGGTGTGCCTTGTCGCAGATTTCTTGCACAGAAATTAAAGTGATTTGTTTGTGAGACAGTGGAACCTTGCACGTAACGTTTCGGAGCGAGGTGAGTGAGCGTAAACTTCGGATAAGTTTCACACGACATTGTAATCCTCGTATTAGGCTTAAAACATTGTTTAGAAAACGAAACTAAAGAACAAGATTAGCGACAATAAAAGACACCTTTTGTGCCCTCTCGTCTTTCGGAATCTTTCTTTATCAGTTTTTGTTTCCTGTTGGTAACAAAGGACATAAACAAACCGATCGTGTGAAGAAGTCGCGCTTCGCTGCCTCATCGAAAAAAAAATTCCCAGCTATTAAGAGACCACTCCAGAAATGAACAGTGACGGGAATTGTTCCCTAAAGAATTCACGGGGAGTCCCCCCACCCATATGTACGCATGATTACGCTGCTATGCTGTGTACCTACCTGTATCTCTTGCATCACCGGTGACTTGACAACAGTCTGGGCTGCCACCTTATCAGGTCTAGATTTGAACCTGTACAGGACTAAGCTCAATGAATGACTAATGGACTTGCTCGGCTGTTTTCACTGTTGTGGTTACCAGACTGCGGCTTTGAATTTAAAGAAATTCCCTGATCGTACACGGCGGCGAATTCGGTGAGTAGCGCCAGGTCAGCTCTTTCTCACGCGCGCGTCTTACAAACGTAGCCCTGCAGTGTTTTTATCTGGTATCTCGAGTTATCTTGCGTATTCGTTCTCGCCGCAGAGGAAACAGAGGCGCACAGAAAGGACGACCAATTTAATTGAATCGATTTTTTAGCCTGGTAGGGTTTTTGGCATTTCCGAGTGAAATCAGCGTAGAAATTTCGTTTCATCAAACGCAGTCCATTGTGTGAGGTTTCCTGTATTAGTAGAAATAACGAAAAATCAGCGATAATATTACCGCGATGGTGCGATAATTGAAACATTTGAGGACACATAAGCGCGACATATCGACGAAACAGTCAGATTTCAATGGTCCTCGCTTTCATGAGGTAGAAATCGTGTTGTAGTTGATATATTTTTGTTATTTTTCCGTTGGTATGCTTTGTTGCGTGGACAGGCCCATACACGTCCTTCACTCGATTGCTGGAGCGAGAGGGCCATCTGTGATCCCGGGGGTTGAATTTCTACGCAATAATCATCGGCCTTTGACTTGATTTAGTGAAACCATTGTCTTCAGTTGCCAAGTCCGTCTCGAGCGCGAGCGAAGCACTTTGAAAGAGGTCCCGAAAGAGTTGGCTGCTATTCTCCAAATCAATACGTCAAACCCACAGGGTTCGTCTGCGATAACACTTTGTGTACCTTTCAAATCAAGCAGCCGTGAAAAACGTATCAGCGCGAGCCCGTGAAAACACCTCGCGCCTTGCGTTGCGTTACGCATCTGACTTTCAATCTGGCTTGACGATCCGAGCTGGTGGAGATCTTAAAGATTGTCTTCCGCTTCCCAGTTTAACAGATGATGACAATTGACAACTGGTCCGTTAAGGAAGCTCATATTCACGTAACCAAAATTTAATCGCAATTATCTGCATGCTGTTTCAGGCTGAGCCTTGAGAGAAACGACGCACGACCATCACACCGAGGACTCGAGTGGGTTTTACCACACTCCGTGAAGATTACACTTTAATGAGTTGGGCACGAAACTCATGCATTTGAGATACTTCATTCGGCATTCACTGGCCGCATTTTTGAAAGGAATACAGCGCCCAAACCTTGGAGTACTTGTGATTTTACTTTTGGCTGCGACGCTGCCTCACGTGAGTAATATACCATTTTATATTATTGTCAAGCCTTCATTTAAGACTCCCGTTCCATTTCACTTGACATTAATAGCGGTTTTGTTGGGATGTTTGCGTAATTTTTTAATCATAGCTGTTCTTAATTCGCGGTCAAGCTCGGATTGTCGAGATGAATAGATCAACGAATTAGAAATCAATAGATCTACAACTTTGAGATATCTTTCTCATAAATTAGCCTATCCAGTCATTTTTCGCACCTTTTATCGACAGCAAGATTTTTATCTACCTCAACCCTCTAAAAACCACTCTATGACCCTTTTATTTTTCTTTTGGGTCGTGTTTAGAGCAACCCTCGCAAAACCCTTAAAGAACTTCAAGCAGTGATTTCTCTAAAAACGTACTTCACTAAAGAATGGAAAACAGCAGCGCGCGCTGTTGGAGGCTCGCGCGCGATCGACACGAACTTTTTCCATTTGGCGGATATTTCGTTTGTATTTGGAATTTCCTGTTTTTGAAGTACAAATTTTTATTTAAATAAAACCTGACGTCACCCAGGCGGACAAGCAAATATACAAGATTAGTAAAAAGTTATTGTTTTCAAGGCATGCTCAACCCAGAATAGGTGCTGTATCTACTGTCTTATCAGTTAATGTGCTTTATAAAGCATGCAACTGTAGTGATTATCTCGAGTTATTGACTTACTTAGCTACACAGGAAAAAAATTCCTTTTAGTGTAAAAGCTTTCTGTTTTTGTTTTCTTTTTGTGGCTGTTTTTGTTTTCTAATAAGGCGACTCGCGTACTTCAATCAACACTTGTTAACACGGCAGAAAGACTGAAGAAGACGCAAAAATTCTTAGCGGGATAAACTCCGTTGTAAAGTCCTCTTCAGTTTCCACCTTTATTTTACGCTAAAACTAAAAGGATTGCCTCGTTGTTAACCTTTGACTCGGGATTATGTTTTACTATTCAAATTTAACGAATAGAATGAATAAATTTAGACCCGCGAAAAAAGTACGCTTATTTTATGAGCTAGCGCCATTTTGTTCCCCACTTTTCTGCAATTGCTGTGCTAAATCTCAATCAGGGTCTTCTAGAAGGACTGATCGGTTTTTTTGATAGCTTCACTCGACCAGTTTTGGGGAATATATAGACAGCCTCTTATTTCCCGCTTTAATTTTATTTCTGTCATATTTTCAGACTCGGGCAACAGGAATGTTTGAAGTCCGATTCTTGGACTATGCGAATCCTGGGCAAAGAACCGAGCAGATGGCGTGTTGTAGTGGTCAAGAGGTAGGAGGGAACTGCTCTTCCCCCTGCAGCACGTTCTTCAGAGTCTGTGTCAGGCCTCTGGCCGATACCACCTCCTGTATCTTCGGTCAGAAGAACTCGGACGTACTGGGAAACAGTTCGTTTGCGATCCCGTCCAACAGTCTGCTGCAGATCCCATGGCCGGACAGTTTGTCATGGCCGGTAAGACTAAACTTAGCATTTCCAATGGCCTCCGGAACAAAACGTGATTTTACATAATTTGACACAGTTGAAGTACATGTAAAAATATCATTTGGTCATACTGCTTTTGAACCTGCTGCACCCTTCCGGAACGAAATTTGGAGCAATGACACTATTTTGAGATTTTGATCAACGGTGTCAGTAGTTTTCCATCTTCTTTTCCTGCTTGAAACCATTTAATGCAACACAATATACTTAGACCTATTTCCGTTCCGTCGACTGATATGATAGAGGGTTTCGATCTTGTGTGGGAAATTTCAGTTTCGAAGTTCGCGCGATTCTTAAGTATCACTTAACATGTGTCTCACGTTAAGACGTTTTCATTCTATTTTTGTGAATACCGAGTTTGTGAACGCACAAGAACAAGGTGTTCCTATTGGAAAATGAAATAGCTACGGTGTCGCTCTCTCAATTCACGAACCAAAAACGTCTGTGGCGTGTTGATTTGCGTTTTTTTTTTTATCACAGATAGCACAAGGCTCGAAGCGATAAACGAGTGAAGGCGATGAAATGCAATAGAGGCGACTGGACCACCGGTCTTGTCAAGGTGTAACTCGCGCGGGATCGTAAATGTCTGTTTTTGTCGATCTTTGAATCAAATTAGATGGCGGAACTTGACTCGATGTACGATTCCGTTTTGACAAACGGAAGGATAATAAACTTGTCGTCTGGCAGTCGAGGAACTGGCGAGGAAATGAAATCATTATATATTGAGAAAATGACCTGCGAAACTATGACTTCTCGTCAGTTTTGGATATCAGATACAAAAGTGGATCGTAACTGGCTGCGTGAAATCTAAAACTTGAATCTAAGACTTCGATCCTTCGAAGCTCATTTCCTAGGAAACAGAGAAACTGCTTTGTTTCGGAGAGAAAGAAAAAAAAAAGGAGAAAAAAAAACGTTTGACATTGTCACCGCGCGGTTCTCAAATATTGCTCAAACGGCACGAAAACCAATATTTTTGTGCTATTTTTAAATTTTCTGTTATGATAAAAATTTAAAGTGATAATGTTCAGCGAGTCTATAAGCGAAGTGAAAGATCAAGTTATATCGATGACAAATTTTGCTCCATGTGTCGTGACTGCCATGTTGGCACCAAACCGTTCAAGTGTAGTTTTGGCGAGCATTTGTTTTTTCCCACCACGATTCTAAGGCGCTTGAACTTGTTCGCATATTTCTTCAGAAACGTTCTCTCGCATTACGCAAGCAAAGAGTTATTTCCATATTGGTGTAAATATATGACTTGCTACTTGATTGATAATTATTCAGGCACGTGCCACAGTTCTTCAGGAATAAGCCTCGCGATTTAGCTGTAAAGTGAATTTGAGTGCCAGCTTCTAAAGTTATTTACCGAAATCCAGAGCGTTTGATCGTATTACACGTCGTCTTCAGCCTGTTTTGTCTAAACCCGTGCAAGCATGATTCCCTATTCCGCGCGCGTGTAGAATGAAGGTGTGATGCATATTATATCTCTACTAATTATTCTCGGTGTTTTCACTTTTTTAGGGGTCATTCTCTCTCGTCGTGGCTGCAAAACATAAAGGTAAGATACAGTGTCTTATCTTAGTGTACCAAACTTTAATTAAAGATTAATCGCGAAGTTTCTTGACAGCAGACTGGTCCTTACGTTGAATCTTGGAATTTCGAACTAAAACAGTTCTGGTATGTCGTTTAGTGAGGCTAATAAAAGTGTTTATCATGCGGGAATGATGGATCCGCGATAACCTTATAGTGCTACTAGACGTTTTGATGACTGCGTGGATTAAAATAAATTTGTGTCCCATCCCTTAAGAAGGGTCACATCGGCACGCGAGAGGTTATCTCTAGCAGCCAGATTTCATGAGCGGTGTGATCATTATAGACCGCTTACACTTACTCAGAACATCAAATAATAAACTAGCGCTTTCGACGACTGGAATACTATTTCATTTTAGGAGATGTGTAGATAACAGATACAGAAAGGGGGGAGTTGTCCCAAAAAATAGAACGTGAGCGCCCGGTTTTTTGGCTTGAATTCTTGCCTGTCCTTAGGTAAAGCTAACAATTTTAAAAAGAAAAACGCCATTGACGGTCAAGTACACTCCGATGGTCTTCTGAAAATCACACGGGTTGAGCGTAAAAAAATGGTACGATAACATTTGTTTTTTGATGAAACCCGCGTCGAATAGTTGTTTATCTAATTTAGCCAGTGTTGACTTAATTCGCATGCTAAACACGCGAACTTTACCCCCAAGTTAGCCTTGATGTGTGGGTAAATGCCTTCTTTTGAACATTCAAATGTATCTTGTATTAGCAAAGAAAATTCCTTGGGATTATCAATTTTATAAAAAAATCCACACTTAGCTTTCTTAACCCGTATGATCGCCCCACGTCGCATCGCGATAATGGCGAGATAATGATACCTGGACAAACAGCTTTAAGCCCGTGATCGCAAAGAGAAACAAAGAACCGCAGCGTTTGAGGAGTCAAATGAGACGTAATGTATTGATAACCTTTTGTGTCATCGCATTGTTGTACTGTTTGGCGGGGCGTACATTGCCTCACCGTATCTCCGAATCGATAAGGTTAATCCTCGCTATTGCCTCGTTATCTTATCTTCCATCAAAATATTGGGCTTTAGCTTGGACAAGCCTCCAGAATGGAACCGATTCGTTGTTAGTTCGTTTGCTATTTTCGGGGCACGCTTAGTTGTCCGTGTGCGTTGTTAAGTGAAGGCTGGGAGCTGGACAAGTGTTCATTTTTCAGAGGATAACGCTGCCATTGTAAACAAGCACTTCAGTTAACAGACAAGTTTGTGAGAGATAGGTGAAACTCGCTGCCCTCCTTAACCCCGATTTTTCGTTCTGGGCTTCAACTTTGAGGAATTTCCATCGACTAAACGCAGCCTTGTTTTTTAGAGTGGGCAATTAGGGACTTTTCTTCATTGGCTATCATTCATTACTCTGTCCTAACGCCATTTACTTGGCATGGTTAACCTCTTTCTCTGTTACATTTCCGTTTTAAGACGTGAACTAGTGATCCGATATTCTAGAATTTCTAAGATAATTGTTCAGACAGGACTGGGTTATACAGCTTAACTCGATAGCCTTAAATGGAGCTTTAGAGTATTATCCAGCTCAGGAAAAAGGCAATTATAGGTTTTAAGAGATTTCAATTTCTTTGGCGCCTCAACGGATCGAATTGCTCTTTTCACCGAGCAGCGTGTCTACGCGAAATCAATCTAGGTTTAGATACTTAAAGCCTATTCTTTGTGAAGTTTGTTCCAGCTCAGGAAAAAGGCAATTATAAGTTATAATAGTTTAAATTTCTTTGGCGCCTCAACGGATCGAATTGCTCTGCACACCGAACAGCGTGTCAACGCGAAATCAATCTAGATTTACACACTTAAAAACTTATTCTTTGTGAAGTTAGTTCCTTCCGTACTTCAACTTTATGCCGGGGAAGATTGTCGAATTATTTGACATTTGAGTGCTTAATGTTTGTAAACGCTTAAACGGTGGGAGGCAGATTCCCCCAAACAAATATCACTAGAAATTCACTTGCTACAGTCGTCGAATTTGGGAACACTGCTAAATATGAGATATTCTTTTCGGTCGCGGCGATAGTTCATATAGCCAAGGCAAATACCATTCTTATAAATGAATGGTGGTTTAGCAAGCCCGTCTCGTTCAGAAATTTGCTCGGGCATGGCCTTGAATAATGGTTCCTGTCTATATAATGCAAGGCAAGAAGACAATTACTCATTGTTGAAGTGGCAGTTTCCATGAATTTTATCCACTTTTTCAAGCTGTACGTTTTGATCCGTTTTCTTTAAACCCTAGTCGCGTTTTTGAAAAAGAAACCGTCGTGGTAGTGTCTCTGGTGAAACGATGTTTCTGGCGCCAAGTTTCCTAGCAGGAGGAAGTTATGACTAAAGTAGATACTTTGTGAAACGATTGTTTCTATTGTGTTTGCACAACACAATCAAAAACCGGAAGACAGGTCGATCAAGTTAGTTGTGTCACCTAACATGTGCGCGTAATGTTTGTATTAACTGTATTCCTGTAGCTTGTTGAATCAATTGTCGAATTTTTGCCTCTGGTTCTGTGTGAACATATTTATTCAGCTGCCATGAGAAAGCATCACGCCCACTGAGTTTCAAAGTGTTTGTGCACGCACACGATTTTACCACATGAATAGTGTTGTGTTTCTTTATTCCGTACCCGCAATTACTCGCTTTAATGCGATAATATGTTTTAGATTGAATCCGTATTGTGCAAGCTTGGCAGTTTGTGTATGGATGCTGATAGCTCGGGGAGCAAAAGTTCTTCGTCTCCCTTATCATCTGGAATGAGTTAGTTTTCAAACGATTAGCATTCACTCTCCAGACCTGAAACGACATTAGTGGACCTCAATAAAATGCCATTTTAGCAGAACTGGTAAACTTAGCCTGTACTAGTTCAACTTTGTTTTCCGGCCTGCATCTCTCAGTCAAGCAGCGAGACCTGTTTCTTCCAGGACCCGTGTGGCAATCTAACTTTCTTTCCTCATTATGCTGTCTCTTAATACTCGATTAGGGGCTGGCGTCAATTCAAAGGCGCCAGTGATCATTTTCCACGAGAAATCTGGCCAAATAATGGACACTTCGTATTATCGAGTTTCCGCTGCTAATTAGAAACGAATGTAACCTTGTAAGTGCGATTACAATCGTATTTGACAAATTTCAAGCTGACTTGATCTCAATCCCTTTTAGGCATGCTGGGTGGCTTTTTTTCACCCGCTCGTTTGCACGCACTGTAGGTGCCGTTGCTAATCTCTTTGTATTGCGTTATACTCTGTGGTACAACTGTTAAACGGGAACGGCGGTCTTCCCGATAACTCACTATGACAATAATTAAGCGTTGGCTTTACGACGTTTGCTAAGCTATAATTGCGCAACTTGCTCTCAACCAATCCAACGTTGGTGCTGTCTTTTCAACCAATCAAGTGCTATAATCCCCTCTGCTCTGCACAACTTTTCCCGCGCTAACTAGCCATTGGTTCCACTTGTCACAAGTAAACATATCTCGAGTTTTGATTGGTTTGTTGTACTCAGTCAGTAGCCGACAACCGCTCTAGCTACATAACTTTATTGTTCATCTCTTTCAGGAGTTAACTCGTCAGTGCTAATTGAACAAGTCGTTGTTAAAAGACAGTCCCTATTGCCCGGTCCGCACTGGCATAATGTCAGCCACGTGGGTGAAGTGGCCAATATAACGTTCTCGTACAGAGTGATATGCCAGCAGAATTATTATGGAGACACGTGTTCCAAGATCTGTATTCCGCGAGATGATCAGCTCGGCCATCACACCTGTGACAGCAACGGCACGAGGGTCTGTTTACCAGGATGGAGAGGAAATTACTGCGATAAAGGTACCGTTGACTTATTTAAAGGAGCACAGCCACTGTATTTTGAGTTATGTTGGCCACGTGCATAACAAAAACACCTTTAAATTGAAGAAAACCTCACAATAGTATTTTACTAAGGTAGAAAAACACCAAATAGATAATAATAAACCATAAAGGAACAGGGATGGTCAAGGATGGAGAAGATTAACGCGGATTACAAACGGTGAACTTGAACGATTTAGGCTAAACTTTTGAAGATGCGCAAACCGTGACGTAGCTTTTGCCATGGTTCTCTGTGTCTTGACATGTTTTCTGAAATAACCTACAGTACCTGATAGTAAATGGACTTTTAAGAGCTCGGTGCAGTATCATACTATTTGCCAGGTGTAAAAATTATGTGAGGCCGGAGTCGAGGTAGCGCTGGGTTCAAGCAACCTTCTTGCCCGCTGGTACAGAGTTTAAAATAGTTCGGGATGGTTCATTCAAGGCTGACGGAGATCTCGATTTACAATTTTAGCCTGAACAAATGAAGCACAATTGCTGGCTGTTGCTTTTATTCAACGATGTTGAAGAGCTGTTTAGAGCGGTTTTTATTTCAGTGTCGAAAGTTATCAGGCAATTACTGGCTGAAATAGTCTTATTGGTAAATAACTGGTTTGGTTTCGGTTTTACGACACTCGATTGAAAACCGCTCTAAGAGAAAAGAAAAAAAACGGTACAATAAAAGCAGAGAAGTCAGAAGAGTTACTTGCTCCCTGTGCTTTGTTATCGAAAACTCATTGTCAACTTTTTCTTCTGCTTAAAACGATAAACATCACTTGAGTGGAACAACTAATCAATTAATGCGTTTTGTATCAAGGCGTTGTTAAAACTGAAAGGAAAGTGTCGAGCTGCCTTTTAGAGAACTGGCTAGCCCTGAGTTCTCAAGAAAGCTATCACTTGAACTTCCCTAGCTTGCGAGCGAAGACCGACAATTCGCGATTTTGTACTGAACTTACTGCGCACCACTCTAAACCGCCTCTCCTAATAACTATTTTCTTTCTATATTTTTTTAAACTACTTTCTTTGATGGTTTGTATAAAAAGCCCCTTTCAGTTCAGCACAACACCGTACCGTTCCCACGCGGCCAAAATTGGATCATGCGCAATTGCGTTTGAGGTCTCCACTAAACGTCTCTGTGACACAAAGAATTGCAACAGGAGAAATTTCACAGCTATAAACGGTTTCCAAACATGGACTTTTTAGGTAGTCTTGTAGGTGAATTGGAAAATGTTCAGTGTCATGATTTTACAATAGCGTTACCATTTTGCGCTTTTAGAAGGTTTGCAAGGTGAACTTTGTATCAACGACTTCGTTTGTTTTCGTCGATAGTTTCCGTGCAGAGTGTTTTGCCCTGTAACTCTTCTTTTTCCTCGGCGATAAGATGTTTGGCCTTTAGCCATATTAAGATCCCTTTTGCTATCTAATCGCCGCGTCTCTACTGATAAAGCCAGGTGTACTATCACTTGTTTATGGTTGCACTTTTATCTTTCCTAAACGTTGATTGTAAAGCAACAATAGCGAGCTTAACTTCATAGAAAACCTGTGATGGATATGCGACATCGCTGTCGAATACCTGCTGGCGAAGGAGACAATTTAACGGTCGCGTTACGTAAATGTTAGGACAGCTGGTCGTTTCTAGCATGTGCCAAAAATGTTTTACATTGTGGGAAATATTCGTTGAGTTAGTTTCAATTCGCCTGAGAACTGTGATTAGTATGCGCTCTCACGTTGCTCAGCGAAGTGTGGAACCCAAACACGGAACATCAGTAGACCGTAAAATCAACAATATTTGAATGTTTTCAGCCGGCTTCGTATGTATTGTTTAAGGTCGCCCCTGATGATTACTTATGTGTGAAGGAGCACGACAAGCTTATTGTTTATTGTTGATTCATAATCTAACTTGCGTGCTCTCGATTCGCGACGTTGCGCTTACAGTGGACAGGTCTCCCGCTGTTTGCCCTTATCTGCCAGCACAGAGATCTTTATATGTGGCCTTTGGTTGTACAAGACCTCTTTTTGAAAGCTGCAATTTGTTTAACGTTTAGCATCAGCAGGTGTTAAGGAGGTTGTTTTCTGCAGCTGGCGGGAGCGCGTGACAAGGTTGAAACGTGAGCTACGTGCGAGGAGATAAACATCAAAACGTTTCTGGTTCGGCATTTTGTTTAAGGTTCGTACGGCTTCGTAGATCGTCGGTGATAATCGATCGAGCCCGAGCCCATTCTCCGGACGGATAGCGCACCATGAAAAATTTAGTCTAAATTCTCAATTTCTTCTGTAATTCCACTTAATCCTCTATATCTTAACTGCCCTTTCTTCTTTTTGTCTATTATTAGTTCTTTTTTGTCTTTCTACCGTGGAATATTATTTTGAGTTTTCTTGTATTATAAACTAATTTTCTGCATCGCAAAACATGACTTCTCCTGATAATTGCCTCTAAACCTACTTTAAGAAGAACTCTACGATTTCGCTAAATGTTATGTTATCAGAGTCCCTCATTCTTCACTCCCTCCCCTCCCACAAGCACCATTGTGGCATTGTCCCTTGCTTTATCATCCCCATCTCGTCCCATGGTTGCGTAGCCTTTCTAGCAGTACCATAAGTGTTTTCTGTGTTGTTAGTAACAGATCATATTCTTCTGTTGTTCTTTCAGCAATTTGCGAGGGATGTGACACCTCGCACGGATCTTGCATTAAGCCTAACCATTGCAAGTAAGACAATGTTTCTGTGCCTTTTTTTGTTGACTTTACAGCCTTGTGCACAAGTTGCCACGAGTTATCTTGTGCATTAGCGGTAGAATAACGACACACTACCTTGGATCGTTACAGCTATTCTTGATTCTTAGGCCTTGTCCACTCTAATGCGTTTTTGTGTGAAAACGGATACGTTTTGATGCGTTTTCTCCCCTTGTCCACACTAAAACGCCCGAAAACGCTGATGAAAACGGAGACTTTCGAGAACGGTTTCAAAAGCGGAGTATATTGAAAACGCCCCATTTCTTGTGTGGAGGGGTGAAAACGGAGGCTTCTGAAAACGGTGACGAAGTAAGCGTCATATACTGTCGCTTCACTTAGCGTTTTCAGGCGTTTTCGTGCGGACGACAGGCAAAAACGCCTCAAAAAGCGTGAGTTTTCGAATGAAAACGCATTAGTGTGGACAGGTGAAAACAAAAGGAAAGCACTAGTGTGGGCGAAAATATATTGCTTCGTTTTCTTCGAGATGAAAACAGGGGCTCTTCAGAAGAAACTAACATTCAACATGTGTTGCTCCTGTTTGCAGATGTCAATCTGGATGGCAAGGTTCAAACTGCACGGAGTGTGAAGTGTACCCTGGATGCCTTCATGGTACTTGTGACAAGCCATGGCAATGTCATTGTATTAACGGCTGGGGCGGATTTCTTTGCGATCGAGGTAAGATTCTCTAACCAATCAGAGCGAAGCTGTTGTACTTTTGACTAATCACAAGCCCAGTCGTCTCGACTTTTCCCGCGCTTTCTAAAGGTATTATATTTTCCCGCGCTTAGCACCATTCTGATGTTTCCCATCTTTGCCACTAGTTTTATGTTTTTTCTTCCAGTGTTCATTTGTTTTTTTTGTTTTTGTTTTTTTTTTTTACGTATGAAACGCATAGCTGTGTACGTTTAACTAATTTAGCGACCTGTTTGAAGGAATTAGCGTTATACGCTGTGACTCAAACCACTGAGATCTCTGCTCTCCGTGTTTCTTTCAGATTTGGAATATTGCACCCGACGAAAACCTTGTAAGAATGGGGCTACGTGCACAAATATTGGTGCGGGGGGGTATTCCTGTGCCTGCAAAGACGGCTACACTGGACAAAACTGTGACCAAGGTGAGCTGTTTAAAGAGGTTACTTAAAAAGCGCGCAAACATGGTACGAAATAAAGTGTTACCAATGTACTAATTTTGATTTCAGTTTTGTAACTTTTCGGTGAGGTTTTTCTGTTTAGACATTTTGTCCTTCAGTTTTTCAGCTTTAGTGATAACCCTAACCCAAACCCCTTAGAAGTGAAATATATTTTTATACAAGGAAAATTAAAACTTCGGTTAGCTTTAGTCTTGGGTTAGCGTTAACCAGCTTTTAAGCAACCCGGCCCAGGTTTGCAACGGGTTAATTCCTGCTATCATTTTACAACAAATCAAGCTGAATTTTCTATTGGTTATTTAATGGCGCATTTGTCTTTTTTGTCTTTCAGAAATAGACGAATGTTCAAGCAACCCGTGCTTACACGGAGGAACGTGTACGGTAAGAGATTCACCTCAAAGAATTTATAGACAAATCTTATCAACGCGTGAATCCCTCATTCACGGATCTGATTTTTTACATTTTCACGTCTTTCTTTAGGATCTAATAGGAGATTACAACTGTTCGTGTCCCGAGGGATTCGGCGGGAAACAGTGCTATCCCGAATGTGTGCCTGGTGCATGCAAAAACGGCGGGTCTTGCATTCATGGACCCCGTGGGTACACGTGCCTTTGTTCAGAGGGATTTACCGGAGACAGCTGCGAAAAAGTAATCCCGACAGGTCCCGCAACTACACCCGGGACTACGCGTCCAAGTAAAACAAATGCAACCGTTGATGACTATAATACGACGACAACAAATCCCGTTGCAAACACTACTGTTGGTAAATATTTGAAACATTTGCAGTTATTGTTTTACCGCAATTAAACCGCATTTGAACCATAGAGGAGCCGCGCGCACTCAAAAGAGGTTTTAGTAAAATGAGTCCATATGCGGTTGTATCGTAGCTTATCGAGTTTTTCCGCAGTTAAACCGCATTTTGACCGCAGATGTGCCGCGCGAACCCATTAGACGTTTTAGCAGGACAAGTTTAGCAAGTTATCTTGCTTTGTCGCACCAGTACCTTCTGTGGTGAATTTAAAACAACCTATATTTAAACGAATGCGTGAATGTCTATGAAGTATAGGAAAGTGTTTCGTGGCAATACTTTCAGTGTTGACGATGTAAGCGAACTTCTAGCGTTTAAAAGTTATATGCAGTGGCTAAGATAATTCAATGTTTCGCTATTTCTCATGAGTAAGGTTACTCATTTCGTATATGGCTGAATATTAACTGAGCTTTTCTCTTCTTTACAGAGCAATCCCACAACGATAGCAGAGGAACAGGTGAGATGACATTTTTATCTGTCATTGCGACTCCTGCGTTTTCTTTTCGTGTTAGTCTCTTCCCTGACATCTCTAATCTGTTTATTTTTTTTTTTTCAATCGACGGATGTTTTATTTGCCAAAACTGTAACAAATGTTCTGACTGTTGTATGGAATGGAAGTTACACATGGGAAGTAGCTTGCAAAGGTCTGCAAGATACAATTGAATGCCACTATCTCGAACCCTCAAGGGAAAGGGGAAAAGGTTCGAGATACCAATAGAAAATTAATAAATTAAGAGGAAATGATTTAAGCTTGAAATAGCGGGGAGGTCGAGATGACAAAGATCGAGATAGTGAGGTTCTACTGGAAGTCGTTATGCTGCGCTTAAAGGAGCTCAGTCACAGTATTTTGAGTTATTTTGATCACAAACAAAATTACCTTTAAATGGTGGGAAACCTAAGAATAACAATTAAATAAGGTAGAAAAACACCAAAGAGATAACGATAAACCATAAAGGAACAAGGATGGCTAAGGATGGAGAAGATTGACACGGATTACAAACAACGATTTTGAAAAATTGAGGCTAAACTTTTCAATATGTGCAAACCGTGACTGAGCTCCTTTAAGGTCTGACCAAACGTGCGCAAGATTTCAACGCGATATATTGCAGCAATGTCCGTCACGCTCAACACGTCGCCACCCTTTCGCGCCATCCAACGCACTGCAACATATCGCAACAACGACAATCTTGCAAATAATAATAATAATAATAATAATAATAATAATGATAATGATAATAACAACATTTATGACGCGCAAATTTCATAAAATGTTCAAATGCGCATGACAAGATTAAAAACGGAATAAAAAGGCTAAAAAGCTAATTAATTACAATTAAAAGTAAAC